CAAAGGTAATAATTTTCCCGGTTAGTAATTTATGACTTGGTGTGATACCACCCCCCCCCCATATAGAAAACATTTGTTCCGTGTATGGATCAGCATCTGAAAACATATAATATTATTATTATTATTTTTGTGTTTATGTGAACATAATGGCGATTAATCGTTAATAATAATATCGATAATGATAACAACAATAATTATAATCATAACAATATAATAACTTTATTAATATTCATAACAATAACTTACAGAATTCAGGTGTTATTGACATGTAAAATCCAGGACGCCTGATTGTAGGGTTAGTGCACATGTATATGTCAAACGATTCGAAAGAAATACTCTCGATCGTCATCAGTAGTTGGACATTTCCATCCGATATATCTTCCGTTTGTGTAGCGGTAGCGGTATCGTAAACTATATACATGAAGTCGGAACCAGTTTCCATATTTACGAATTCGAATTGTACCTTTAGTCTATTAAAGCCTGCCGCTGGAGTTACACGCCAATGCCTATGCACGCAGTTCCGATAGTTGTCGGGATAATTCAGATGCGTGAAAATGTAGATAGAAGCAACTTTAATGCCGACTACTGTTAGATTCCATTTGCTGGCATCTGATAAAACATGTAATGTAGATATACATATAATGTAACATGTTATTGCTCATCTACTTAATAATAGTTTGATGATACATCATTTCAGCATGTACAGTACTAGAATAAGCAATCGTACATTTAATCTAATCTTTTATTTCACTAATATCAAAATAATGGCTTCATCTACTCTTGTTCTAGCAACATTAACTTTTAATTTATATTTGCAGCATATTGTAATTATTGTATAATTTCTTTTTCTACAATAATGGGTATCGTATTTTGTCCATTGTATCTATAATGAGGTTAGAAATACACTATTTTGAAAAAAACAAAATGTATTATTTCAAGTTATATGTACAGTACATTCAAACATGTTATTTTTTAAACTCACGTTTTTCATTGCCCATTTGAAATTATGCTATTAACATAATATATAATGTAACATGAGAGAGTTACTACAATTTTTATAAAAGTGGTAATGAAGCCGTGTTAGTCTAAACAATATACAAAGAAAATTAAAAGGCAGCACTTTGAGACTAACTTAGAAGTTATTTATTCAACACACGCTTCAAGCTTGTTTTGAATAAATAACTTCTAAGTTAGTCTCAAAGTGCTGCCTTTTAATTTTCTTTGTACAATTTCTATAAAGTGTTTGTATAATTTTTTGTATCTTCAAATTTTATATTTAGAGTTTTACTGTTCTTTGATATTTGCATATAGAACATAATGTTCTAAATTTCAATAAATAATATGTATATGCATATTAAGACATTATATGCTGATATAATATATTATATATAATATAATATATTGTATTATATTATAATTATTTTATTTACATATATTAGGGCATTCTGATGATATGTATTTTTTCTTAATGGCAAGCAAATCTTTGACTATTTGATTTGTACTTTTTATAGTCATATCGCAATAATACTACTTAAATAATGTCTACTGATTTAAAGTAGTAATTGTATTATCAGTAACTGGACTATGCAATGGTTCTGCTATGCAATAATTTCTTGTATTTCCAAAGATAGAATTATGAACCTCTGTATGGACATAATATCTAGTGGAGTGGATTTGTTTTAGTTTACGAAATATCCTGGCAATTACTAAATGTGTAAGAGAAGAAGATGTAATATTTTGGTGGAGTTGATTATCTTAGTGGTTAACTCCACTCCCTAGCCCCATAATGAGACTTAATTTATACAGAGCATCTTTTGTGAAAGTTTGTCATGTGACGGGAATGAAGTTTTGGCATATCATTGGTCTTGGGCCTAAAGTATACAAAAAATAGAATATTTTGCCAAATTGATCACCTTCGCATCCGAACTGATGATTATCTGCTGGGCAAAGCTGATAAGATGGCGTGATAACCAAAGAAATCTGCAAGAAAGTAACAATAATGTTACTATTAAATGTATATTTTAACTCAATTAACAATGAAGATGATGATGATGATGATGATAATAATGATAATAATAATAATAATAATAATAATAATGATAATGATAATGAAAATGATAATAATAATAATAAAAATAATAATAATAATAATGATGATAATGATAATAATAATAATAATAATAATAATAATAATAATAATAATAATAATAATAATATAATTTTTAATACTATTGTTTATTGAAATACGCGAAGGATTGCCAATTGCGAATATATCACTATTCTTTTTGAGTAAGTAACAAACACTTTCACAAGACGAAAATACACACACAATGTTTTACACAAACTAAATCCCAATACTGTATATGAGGCTCGGAGAGTGGAGTTGCTTTGGTCGTGAGAAAAAAAAACTGCAACACTGGCAAGAATTGAACCCATGAATGATGACATGCGATTAAAAGGCAACAATCTTAACAATCAAGATAATCAACTTATTTTGACAAGATTGTGTTTGTTTTGTAATATGGATGTACCACCAGGTAGGCCTAAATTCAAGTGGCACTCTATTCCATGACGCTTTACATTAGTCATCAAATTCATCTCAAACCATGAAGACGATTTTATGAATTATTGTTCTCCGTTTCAACAGCAAATTTAATACTACACTGTTAAGTGTGTGGCCTTGTACAACATTATATCTTAATTTTTAGGTATCTTAAATTGAAGGTAGCGCAGGATTATATTAAATGACTCAGTTAAACTAAAGTGCTAAAGTGTTATCACCATAGAGATATGCCTATTCAGTTACGAAGGTATTGTTATGGAGTTATTATCAATGATGGAGTTATTATCAGTACAATGAAAATGTAATTATAAACTGACCAGTTACAGTGATTATTCTCTTTCTACAATCGCCATTAGCAGGGATTCTAATCTAATACAAATTTTAGAATATTGTACCGGTCATACGTAAAGTGTTTTGTTGTAATCTTAAAACTTGCCATGATATGACACGATATGCGCGCGGTGATGGGCTATAAGAAAGCCCCATTGGATTTGCGTTTAAGTGTGGTAGATTGTATTCATGTATTTAATACCATATTTTTTTAATACCATATTTCAAGAGGGTAACCCATCTAGCATTGCTGATCATCAGGGCCCTCAAACAATACATAAAGTAAAAAACAAAAATCACTTAATTACAGACAGATTTATAAAATGCATATATAAGATAATTTGTTGGAATTTGAACAAACAGTAATTTAAAAGTTATAACAAGATTTACAAGAAAATTACAACATATATTGTTAAAATTTTAGTTTAAAATAGCAAACGTAGCACATAAATAAATAAAATTTGGAATAGAATTATATAAATTTGAACCCTTATAACTAAAGCAGTTTTTAAATATTTCACAATGTGGTTTAGGAATAAAATAATCGCCGTTTGTAATTGCACGTTTTGTGCGACGGTTGCTTGACTGGATCCTGCTCATCATGCGACATACATAGTTTGGTGCCGTATTAATGGGAATTACGAAAAGCGAGACAGCCAAGTTGGTATCGAATGCAACTTTCATGATGTTTATGGTATTAAAAAGGGTACTGGAGGGGAACCTTCTTAGGCAGACATAATGAAAATATATATAAAAATGACATAATATATTACTTCTACTCTAGGTACTATAATCACACTAACGTCTTGAAAAAAAGAAATAGAACGTTAGGGCCTTCTTTTAATTTAGGCATAAACCCGAATAATGTTTATTTAATAGTATTTTACCAACGCTGAAATATAGAAAATACCGGGAGTTTGTCCCAGAGTTGTCCTAGAGAGAGTACACCTTTCTGGCGTCACCCTTGTAAGCTCCCAGCACTTTCCTTGAATTAAATTAGCTACCTTACCTTTATGAATATCAGCAACCAATACATTTTCTGCTGGCTTCAATCGAAACTTAGCACTAGTATCACAAATGTTGATCTTCCTCACAAATACCGTCTTGGTAAGATAAGTTCCGTTTTATAGTCTGCCTGTTGTCCGTGTTTACAATTGGCTACATTTCATCGTTATGCAGAACCTTTTAACCAATCTAAATCGGTAATGAGACGTCATATTGAAGTGTGTCTTAATGTCGAAAACATGAAAATTTGTCACGTACATCCTAATGAATTATAATTACACCTACATTTTATAATTAGACCTACATTATATAACAAATGCAACAATGAACCGGCCTACCGTATCTCTTGAATACTGTCATTCGTTAGAAATATATCCATAAGAAAAATGACACAGATTTTAGTGTCCACAGAGTGGAAAAGTTAGTGTTCACACAGTGTTGACTGTGACTAGGGTACAGGTAATGATGTAGGAACTATGCCTCAGCCTTATTGGCTTTTCCCAGCAGTAGCAGTGGCAATTTGGAGTGTGGAGGTAAGGACCAATAAAGGGAATTAAGGGCAAACACACAAGACCAGATATTTAAAAAACGGATTAACTTGCTCTCAATCGCTGAATTACCATAATACTACTCAAAGTAGAACTAAAAACTAAAGTGACGTACGTAGAGTCAGCTCATATCGCAATAGTTATGACTTTCCATATCACCTTCACTATTAGCTATGGTTCGAGTCTCTCTAACGTCGTGTTATATTTTGAAGTATTGTAGGTCTATTATGCCGTTTTGTAGGTGAACTAAAAGCACATAGGCCTACCACTAAGTAAGATACCGAAATTTACGAAAGCAGAAAGCAAAAACAAAAGAATCCCATACTCAGGGACACATTAAAGGACACAAAAACAAAAGACAACGGTTAACCCAAAAAAAAAATGCAATACAGTCAACTTTCTTAATATCAGGTTTAAGAACAGCAACTAAAAAATTAATAATATTTTAATAGAATCTAAATTGTGTTAGAGATTATTTTCATTTTTGAATTCTAAAGTTGGTGGAATTTATTACAGATATACTGATATAGTAGAGACTAGTAATAGTATACCGTAACCTCGAATTAAAACCCTGGCTTCTTTTCGAGGCTACTTTTGCAAAGTAAAGAGTGGGGAGGGGGGCCGGGGGCTTCTTTCAAGAAGAATGCTGTAAGTTTTGGGAATTTGTACTATAAAACACCCGTATCATGGTGTGTATTAACTGTCATTAAATCAGCTAAACTACTGTATAAACAAAGCGTGTTGTGAATTAATGAATGAATTTTTTAAATTCATGTACAGTGTATGTACTTACTATCTCAAAACGAAGCCTATGCTATCTTGAAAAGAAGTTCATAGGCTTCTTTCCGAGGGTAATTATGGAAACTAAAGAGGGGGCTTCAATGCGAGATGGGCTTCTTCTCGAGATTAAGCCAATTGGGCATCAATCCAAGGTTTTATGGTATTTATCATGTTTGTTTAAATTTCCTCATCGGATTATTAAAGATTCTATGATAGCGTAATCGCTTCATTGGGAACATCAATAAACAAACAATAGGCCTATATCTTTTTTATAAACAAATTCTTTATTCAAAACTGCAAATAAATTTAATTTCAAAGTTAAATGTGGAGAACACATACAATCATATTAGTATCAAGCAATTACTCTAAAAAATAAATATATAAATAAATAAATAACCAGCAAACAGATGAGTTTCCTCAAAACATTTGCGCGCCTGTGCGTAAGCTTTTATTTACGCATACATTAATTAATTGATTTACTCATTCATTAGTTCGTTTCACTCAATATATATATATATATATATATATACATA